ATTCTGGAATTCAAAATTCTTCACTATATTGAATCTTCACTATAACGAGAGTTCACTATAACGAGTTTGACTTGTATATTCTTATAAGTTTTTAATTATTAACTCAATCTTTATAATGTGATAATGGTTCGCTTCATAATATTAATATCACATTTCTACACCATTGGTGGTTCAAAAGAAGGCATGAAATAAATCTTCACCCAGTATTTAAGATTATTGAATATTTCAAAAGGTATTTATTTGGTGATGTTATCAGTTTAAAAGTTAATGTGAATATATTAAATTTACTAATAATATTTTCATAGTAGATAGGATATTTACTATCCAGAGTAGATGGATTTAATATTTGTATGTATAATATATACTAATATATATTTTAAGTATTTATGTAGCAAATCTAGCACAATCACTAGTTGAAGGTACAGCCACATGATAATCGATCTCTTGATCTTATCTTATATCTATTGTATATAATGTAATCAGTCAACTCTCTTTATAATGAACCAAATCTTGTAATCCACTCTATAATGAGCTATTTTAAAAAAATTTTGCAGTACATAATAAATTACTGCTATAATCGACTTTTAAAAATTTTACTATAATGAGCAAGCCATTATTAATACTATTCTTACTATAGTTAAAATTTGATCGCTATAATATGTAGTAATAGCTTGTTAGTTAGTATTATTATCAAAATAATGAATTTATTTACTTTGAATTAAATTATTGTTAATGTAGTTTTCTTTAATAATACAGTTATTGATTCAAAAATTGGAAAAACAATATCTCCTTCGAATACTTCATCTTCAATATCTATCACCACCTCCAATCCTCAGCCTACATCTAACTTTCCACCTAAAATCTCTAGTAGAATTAGTAAAGATTAGTAATACAAGCCAATGAAAAAATCTCAGGTCAGGGCTGACCTTTTTATGAATAATTCTGAATTAACGCATATTCGTAGCACATAATTCATTGTTGCAATTAGTGCTCTTCCGGGTTTGGTCTGTTCTGAGTCTGGTTTGGGATCAGAACAGACTTAGACTTTTAGTTTTACTAATATCAGACTTCAGATTAGACTTAGACTCAATTGTGAGTTCAGTCTGTGTCTGGTCCGAAGTCTGCGGACTGGTCTGTGTCGAATATATTTATATGTACTTTTTAGTGCTGAATAAATTTACTTAGTGCATAAAGTTAGAATTGATTAATAAATCTTTGTAAATTATAAGATTTATTGAATTTTATTAATAAAATTCTATAAAGTAATTCACATAATTTTATTAATTAATTCTAACTTTATGCACTAAGTAAACTTTGTTTATCATCTATAAATACATCAAATTGGTAAAATTATTTTTATTTTACTTGAAATTTAGAGAACAAATAAAAAAAGTCAAATTTAAGCATCTTTTCTTCAAATTTCAAGTAGAATGAAAACAATTCTGCCAACTTAGTGTATTTTTAGGTGCTAAATAAGTTTATTTTGTGCATTAAGTTAGAATTAATTGGTAAAATCTTGTGAATCATAAGATTTCATAGAATTTTAGTAATAAAATTCCAATTTCTATGAAATCTTATAATTAACAAGATTTTATTAATTAATTTTAACTTTATATACTAAGTAAATTTGTTTAGCATCTATAAATATATCAAATCAGCAGAATTATTTTTTATTTTACTTGAAATTCAGAGAATAAATATATAATTTTAGATTATTGATTAATTTAAGTAGGGTCCGAAATCGGTCAGGCTATCTGGGCCCGAGCCTGACCCGCACTGCAAAAGTTCGGGTTGGGCCCACATTTTTAGACCCGCTAAAATATCGGGTCAGGCCGGGCTTTACAAAAAAGCCCACAAATCCCCAAAAGCCTTTTAGCTGCTTTTTATAAATCCAGGAAAAAATTAGTTAAATGATTTTTCAGTGAATCCAGTTAAAAAGTTGACCGAATAATTTTTTGGCCAATCCGGTTAAGTTATTGATTGGCATGATCTATATAATAATGAAAATAATAAAAGCTAAATTTATATCATAATGATGATTTTACAATTGTTATGACAATATTAACTTTTTAAATTTTTGTTTATTATAATTGCTTGTCCAACATGTTTGGTGTGCTTAGTTTGTACGAAAATTTACAGAGAAGACTGTTTCTGTCAACCAATAAGAGACGTAAAAAAGGATCCAAATATAACTTAGACTTTTATAACAAATATATTACACAAACAGGTGCTACTATTAAAAAAGTTAAATATGTATATACGTACATGAATTTGTTGACTAGTTTAAAAATCAATCTCAGGTAAAGATTCCAAGCGACCAAGATATTATTAATATTTTGGTATTATAAATCAATGATAAATTAAGTATCTGTGAGATTGTTTAGGCCACGGAAGCAGCTCCAAATATCTTATAGATATTTGATTTATTCACTGATATTATCATTCATTATTCAATATGAACTGTATTATTTCACCAATAATAATCATTTCATAGACAGCTTAGTTCTTGAAGCATATGAGACATTCGAATCTGATGATTTCTGGGATTGACATTATACAAGTATTTATACAGGATAGTAGTCTAAAATCAGAATTTTCAGGTAAAAGCAAATCTAAAAAAATATATCAATCATGTAATACTTTACTAATAAAATAGCTTTGTAAAGAATGTCTTTTCAATAAACTCAAGTTGCATCATTTGCATCATTTGCATCATTTGCATCATAGTAGTTAAGGTAAAGGTTGAAGTACTATCTACGTATAGTAAGAGGTAATAAAAGTATATTGTACTGCTCAATTCACAAAGTTCAATGTTGTTATTTTTATTTTTATTTTTATTTTTAGTTATAATATTAACTTGTTAGTTTTTATTTTCAAATTTTGTAGACTTTTCTTAAAGTTATAA